GAAGTGATCTGTATTCTGTTGAAACTGCCAGACGCGGATCGCGATTTCGATCTTTTTGGATCTCATCAGCGCGTCGCAAACAGCTCCGACAGAACACAGACCGACTTTTACCTGCTGTCTTAACAGCGCGTTTTAGAAAATACCACAAATGGCGCGGTAAACGCCATCTATAGTACGATGCTACATTATTACGTACGCTCCAACAAGGTCCATTTCTGTCGATATCTACTTGCTGAAACAAACCATTACCATAATCGAATAAAACAATTCGAAGTAGTCTGGATTATGGTAACGTGCCTATCACGTTAAGGTTAGCTACGTCGGAATTCGTTTCAACAAGTAGATATCCATACAAATGGACTTGTTGGAGCATACGTAAACCCATTTATTCAATATTAAAAGCTACAACATGTTGTCTAGTAGGAGACAATGCTTTGTATGAGTACCTATTATAAATACTCATGCTCTCTATCGTACGTGGTAATATAAATTTGAAAACGCGCCATACAAAATTCACAATGGTACCATAAAGTTGTAATTGCACTTAGACATGAGCAAATGCGGTTGTTGCTATTGTTGGCAGTTTTATTCCATGAGCCGCTAGTTCAGATGGCTCAGAGTTTAGGTACTCCTTGTATTATGCTATCTGTGCTTATTCTTCGAATACTGGCAATAATGGCATTGGATACTTTTATCTGCATTCTGTCGGAACTGTCTACATAGTGTTGATTAGTTCCTGTAAGATCGAAATCGCGATCCATGCCTGGCAGTTTTGACACGAAACTGATCAACAACTTTTTGTTAGGTACCTAGTTGATAGTTTTTATTTTATAGGGGTCAAATTGGAAATACCCGTAACTTTCGGTTAGAACAAATGGCGGAACATATCGAATATCCTTGTAAGTATTCGGGCTGCTCTTTTACCGCCAAACCGGATAAAATCAAGGAGCACGAGGCCACTTGTTTTCTCAGCATCTACGATTGTCCCTTCAAATACAGGACCCAGTGCAAATGGAGTGGTTTTCACTCGGCCATCTTGGATCACGTTCACGATCAGCATCCTGAAGATACCGTAGAACTGCCGGTTATTGTTTTTATTTGCGAAAGTTTGGATAATTTGAACTACACTGAATACAACATCTTGCCAGCTTGTGGTCAGTTGTTCATGGTCGGCTTTTGTTACAGTGATTTTCAATTTCTTTGGACTGTGCAATTTATAGGACCAAAAGAAAACGCGAAAAATTACTTTTACGAACTGGACTTTAAGGATAATAGTGGAACAGATAAAAGGCTGTTTGTCAAACGACTCTGCTGTCCGTTGACTGATTTCGATGAAATGTTTGATGATGATGAGGATGTTGTGTCATTAAAACATAGTTTATTACAGCCTTTAATAGACAACGGAGACCTGATATATTCCTGCAATATTGTTCCTGTATCATAGCTAATGCTATAATCACTATCAGTTAACTGGAATCATTTTTTTGTTTTCATTTTAACATTAAAACGTCAATTATTACTACAATAATTGTTTGTTATGCAGAATTAATTATTCGTTTTTGTTTTGTGAATAAGTTTTTATGTAATATGTTCTATAAAAAATACCTATGATTTGTTTTGTTACTATTCTTTTACTATAAAACAATTGCAAACTATGTGGAATTTGACTTATTCCTTTCAATATATATATATATAAAACATGTTCTGTCATGCCCTCGTTGAGAATCGAACCCGGGCCCCTAAAAAGAAAATTTGGGTGTTTCATTGCCACCAGCCAGTAAGACTAGTGGTCAGGCAGTCCCTCCAGACTACGCCGGAAAATAGGGCAGAAGACCCTCTTCATCCTTCTTTCAGGAATCGTGAGAGAGAATGAAAGATTATCTATGGAATATTACTGCCCCAGCATTTGCCTAAGTGATCCAAGAAAACCACAGAAAAACTTGGACCAAGGCAGACAGACCCGATATTAAACCGACATTTTCCCGAATGCTAAGCAATGGTCTAAACCTCTAGGCCATGCCACAAAAATATTTTTGGATGTTTCATTCCCACCAGCCGGTAAGACTAGTGGTCAGGCAGTCCCTCCAGACTACACCGGAAAGTAGGGCAGAAGACCCTCTTCATCCTTCTTTCAGGAATCGTGGGAATGGGTGGGTGGTGGTTCGGATGAGAAACATGAGACGGACGAAATGAAGACAGAAGAGAATGAAAGATTATCTAAGGAATATTACTGCCCCAGCATTTGCCTAAGTGATCCAAGAAAACCACAGAAAAACTTGGACCAAGG